CTGTATGCTCCCTACTGATCCTGAAAAGAATACAAAAAGGCACTTCCAATGATGAAAAGAATGCAATCAATACAGCTCAATTTGTCTGCTATAATCTCACACTCCAGAATATTCCTTAGCTAATTAGAAGTAAAAGCTAAGTTTGTGATTGGAGATACAATTGAAGCATGAAATTCACAACAAAGATAAGTTATAGCTTTGAAATAAAAGCATTTTACTACCTAACCTGACCTATTCTGCCTTTAACACCTACTGAGAATTGTAGTCTTACATCTTTTGGACTGATGGCTTTAGTGAGCCTTTTCAACTTGGTTAAAAAGCAGAAGCTACCAAAAAAAAAAAAAACTTCCATGTAACATAATTACTTTGGTAAATTTTACCAAAGAGCTCAGAATGCCCTTGAAATAAAGAAAAGTCCAAAATCACAGACTACATTAAATAATTAAAGGAAAATTAAGTTCAGAAAAATATTAGTGATAGTGAAAACCTTTCTGAGATTTTCAGCTTTTAAATGAAATCTCTATTAATTTACTAACTAAATTTACTGGGGTAAATCCAGGTTTTGTCATGTTAACATATAAAAAAAGAAATTTTTTTATATCCCATTTATTCCCATTTCATGTACCGGCCATCTTGCTCTGCACACAATCATCAAAACTACCCAAAAAGATGACTTAAGTAAATGTTTTATGGAAGTTTTTTAAAAAAAATAAAATTAAGAGACATATGAAGAAAAACAGAAACCAAGTTTTCTTGATTAAAATAGTTTTACTGTATTTTTAGAAGGAATTCTTATACCACTGTATTTTTAGAAGGAATTCTTATACTATTCTGATTTGGTACCTAAACGTTCAGACAAGGTGATGATGATTCCTGAAGATGCTGTACACTAACTTCTTGCCAGATAAAAACAGCTTCTGAATAACTGCTTCTAATACATTTCAGAGCAGTTTAGAAACACCCAGAACACTAACACAACACAGCAGCACACTAATTTTATGACAGTTTGGAAATCAGCACCTTATCAGTTCTCCATTGTACCACTTAGCTTTTGTTCTGCTCCACTGGCACAAAAAGAATTTTAATTCATGGAAATGTAAGTGCAGTAAGTACAGTTATGCATATGCTTCTGCCACTGCAGATTTGAGTCGTAAGATAGAAGTAAACCCAACTGATTCCCCATATTGCAATAAACTGATATACTACTTACAGGTTTATTTTTAAGTATTTACAAGTATTTTCCTAAAGATCTGGGCAGAGTGTTGCATATCTTGGTCCTAAGATAAACAGAAGACCAAGTCTTCCATTTCCTGAAGGCAGCCAATAGTTTCCTACCATTATTATATAGCAGCATTAATAATCACAAACGAACTTAAAAGCTAAGAAAATTAAAGCTATAACCTATTTCTACAGTGGCTAATAATGAGAAAATCTTTACAACATTTTTTTTTTTTTTACCTTGAAATATCACTACTAATAACATGAAAATAAAATAACTCAGTTTAGACTGCATTATAGCAATGTCTAAACCACTTAGAATTTGCAAGTCTATTCACATTTACGTCCTACTTTAAGTACAGAGATAGCACAAGACAACACATCAACTGTATTCTTACCAGTAACTGTTCTTGGTCTTCCTTGGCATCCTTGTAAGAGGTGGATCCAGGCAACCAAGATGATAATGGAGTTTACAAGTATCACACAGTAGCAATAGGTGTTGATCATGGTTCTTCTTGCAAATTCCACAACTTTTAATGTAGGTAGCAGAAAAGCATTATAATTAAATTTGAAATCATAAAGAATAAACGATACACCCCAGCACATTCCCCAGTTTCAATACAAACATGTGGCAACTTCAATTTGAATGCATCATTTAAGAGCATAATTACTTTTTAAGGAGCTTCTACCTATACACAGTAAAGCATAAAAGGCACCTAATATAGTTAATTTAACAAAAAAATGGCTTTCAATCTAATTTTTTGAGGACTTCTAATCAGTAGGTAATCACTTGATACTTCAACAAAATGTACCAGTAGCAAACAGAAAAAATACTAAAATACTACCTGTGCCATCCAAATGCTTAAATAGAAAATTATGCTGCTATTATCAGTCTTAACAATCACATGCTTATTTTAATAATGCAAGCACCCTGAAATAGGTCCGTGCTGCTATTCTGTTGGGCAAGGTATCAACTCATAAGAAATTAATTTCCTTTTTATTATTATTATTTTACTGGAATTGAAATTTTAGTTATTTCAAAAAGATCAGGTGTTCATCAATTCCATTATAAAATGGGAGGAACTAAATGACTGGATTTGAATGAAACAGAACTAGTAAAGCCTGACTCCTATTATTTGTTTGCGTATATGTCTAAATTGCCAAATCCTCAGCCCACTGCCATGTTCTCAAGATTTCCACCTCTCGCAGAACTAGAATTAACTTTTGCTTATGTAACCCATCTTCTTCATTTAGCCTACTAGCTGGACAAGATACTGCCCACTTGCTCTGGCTGGAGGCCTGACTGCTGCTCTCTAGATAAGCAACAGACCATGCCACTTCTCAGATGGTGGCAAGAGAAGAAGCTCCAAGACGATATGTATATTTTGCACAGCCATGCTCTGGGATCCTAGTATGTGTTCCACTGTTAGGCTTAGTTAAAACCCAGTCAGTAGCTTCACAACTTATAGAAGAAGGGAAAAGGTGGAACAATGACAGAGTAAGTGAATACATTTTATTTTGTTGGGAATTGATACAAATAGAAGTAGAGAAATTTAAAACACAACGTATCCCAAAGCATTTGACAACCCATGAGCAAAAAGTAAAAATTCTCACATGACAAGTGTTTTATGCACCCAGCCACTGTGACTAAACAGCAGCAGCACTGTCGCAAAATCATCAACACAGATGATCGAATTCAAAAGACAAGATGACCAGTTAAAAATTTTCACATCACAGAGACAAAGGACCCTTCTATTTCAGCTATAAAGAGTTATCTTTGTCCTTAAAGCACTGCTGTCAAATTAGCAAAAAAACCCCAAACCTTATTAATGTGTGCTAAGGTGAAGAATCGACTACTATTCAACTTAGCCTTCAGAAGCAAGTAAAATGTACAGACAACTCTGAAGCATTTTGTTAACCAAAACCAAATAAACAATTTGCTCTTAACACTTTTGTGGAACTGTAACTTACTAAATATTGTATCTATTCTGTCAAGACTTCATTACTTGCCTATAAAGTACAGCCGGAAGTGTAGATGTCTTTTGCGTTCCTCCTTCCTTTTTACTTGGTTTCCTTTCCTTAGGAGCACGTAAAATTGCTGGTATGTTCAATTTCTATTGGATTTGAACAAATGCAGTATACATGAGTCTTGAGACTTTTAGAGAATACCACTCCAATCTCAATGCATGAAGAACAAGAGTCAAATTATGAGTAGGAAATTGCTTAGCTAGCTATTTTGCAGACAAAAGCACCTACAGACGTTTATATTACAAAATCATAGTGGGATAAAGTAATATTATACTCATTTTTTCACTCAATAAATAAAAAACACATTGAAACACTAGCTTTTAAAATTTTTCTTCAAGCTTCAAATAGCAGGATGGACAAGGGTGAATTTGTCTAGGCAGCTGAAACAAGCAAAGGCAAATTCATGAAATTGACAGAAGAATACTGAGGCAGTTTATTTTCCCCAAGATCCCTGCTACATTGGTGTTCGATAGGTTAATTAGAAAAATTATCTTATTGGACCAAGCCCTACACAAAGCAGATGAGATTCTCTTTGGGTTTCTACTAATCTGCAGTATGCTAGCTTCTCAGACAGCAACCATCTATCAAAGTCATTTCCCAGCAGCCCCGTGGGTCTGCATCTGTTCAACCAACTGGAAAAAAAATGTCATGCAAGCTGTGCAAATGAATTCTACTTAACTTTTCTTCTTCTTTTTTTTAATTTACTAACATTTGCACCAGGAAACATATTTGTGAATACTTACTCAAAGTCATCTTAAAAAGAAGGGAAAAAAAATAATCTTGATTCAAGAGATACGTTACGTGAGAATACTTCTTCACAAGTAGGAAAGATAGGCGGACAAATAGAACCAGAAAAAGCCAGCATACCTTAAGAACTACTACTGCATAAAGAAAGGGTAAGCTTCATTTTCTGAACAGCAGCACAAACTCAGCAGTATCAAAGGGCATGACAAAATTGTGATCTAACTGTACGTTTGCATTTTCACAATGAACAGTTTCTTCAAGCTTCCTTAAAATCGTAACTGGAAATCATTTCAATCCCTTTCTGACATCTAAAATGTCCATTACCATTTAATACCTTTGACATAATATATATATCAAAACATGGCAAGAATCTATACTTCTTTCTTTTCTCCAGGTGTATCAATGAGAACAAAGATAATTGCTGGCAACAGGAAGTAATCCAAATCTTTTCTTCATTTGACCAAAATATTCTGCTCTGTCCAGTTAAAAACTATCACATACATACGGCAGTTTTAAAGATTTCGATCTTATAAAAGCCATAAAGAGTTACCATATCATTTGAAGCCTACAGTAACTAAAGACAACGTGGAGACAAAAATGGTAGGATTAACTCATTCTTCACATTAAGGTTCATCACAAATGACAGGTCAATCAGTTACACCAAATGAAAGAATTTTGCAAACAAGATCGCTATTACAACAACAAAATTAAGCTACAGGTTCCCAGCAGCTGGTTTGCAGAAGTCTAGGTATTTCAATCAGGAAACACTATCCCCAGAGTAAAGCCTGAGTCTGATCAAATCAATTTATTCGGCCATACAGGCGACAGACAGAAACAAAAAGGACTATTCTTGGAAAACCAGGTCTGCCTACGAATTATAAAGAGGGGGGAGGAAAAAACAACCAACCTGTCCAATGATTCTACCCAGCAGAGCCCAAATGCCTTGCCCTTCATTTCGCAGTTTTCCATTCATATTTTGTAGCTCTTCCAAGGACTCACACAGCTGAAAAGTTAAAGAAAAAAAGCAACAGGAATGAAAATCCATTAAGAGTTATTTAATAAAATTTATTCAACCTCTTACCTATCTAGGGTGCATTACTTTACTGTGGGATTAAAAAACAATGGAACTCATGTCAATATAGCTAGTACAATCATTCAGCAATTTAATGGCATTAAAATGAAAACCTGGGCAGCCACCTGTTTTGTAAAGAAGATCTGAAGCACTTTGGCATAAAAATAAGGTTTCATAAAGTCAATTAGAAAGCAAAACTAAAATACAGCAACATCTTGTATGTGTTGTCCATACTACTTAAGCAGGAAGACTGTAACAAGTAACCACATAAATGAATTAAAGCTTTATATTGCATTACCAAAGCACATTCACTCACTCTCATAGAAAGAGATGTAATTTATTAAAGGATGCAATCAGAAAAAAAGTTTTTTTTCTTCTGGAAGTAACTGTTAGTTACCACATAGCATATGCAACCTATTAATTTGGTTAAAAGCCCCATGCACAATCTCCTTCCTCTTTATCATCTTTGGGTAGTTCACAAGGACGTGCTGCTTCATTTCCATATGTTCTCATTTAAAACACACACCCAACAGTTTAAGAATTAATAGCAACACCTTTTTTTGTCATCACTAACCATCACTTGATAGGTTGCTGAATTCAGCAGAAATTGCAGCATGTCATCTGTCACAAAAGATACTGTATTTCTATGTTCCATTTCAAAATATTTAAAGATTAAAATAAAGAAATTTAGTAAAAATGCAATTAAAACACAAAATACTTTTTTAACCATGATGATGAGTTAATAAAAAAAACACTAGCAACATTTTGGGGGAGCAATGCCATCATTTATGGGTCCCAAATTTCCTATACTCAAACAAAACACTCAGAGGACACTATGGGTGTGTGAATACTGATTATTTCAGCCTGAAAAATTAGCCAAGTCATTAAAACTAGGATGAACACAACTGGAATTGGAGTTGACATAAATAAATAAATTAATAACACTCTGACAATCCTAGATTCCCAATTATCAAGTAGGGTTCTAAGCAGAGAACCAAACAGGTTGAAAAAGAACCTAGAACTACATACAAGCAAATCAAAACAAAACAAAACGGGAGAGAGGGAGGGAAGGGGCGGGGCGGGAGAGAGAGAGGAGTCAAACTCTGTTGTCTCAAAGTCTCACATGAAATGCATATAAAGAACGAAAAAAGAAGGGCCTTAAGACACAGTTCACTCATGAGAGGGAGCTGTCTGTCCATGTGCAGTTTGTTACTGGTGCTCTCAGTGGGGCCAGTTAAAGAACTCATGCCCAGCCAACAACATATGACATTTTAGAAGTTGATTCTGCTTGCATGGGGGGGGTGGACCACAGAATATTTTTAAAAGAAGAAAGATATTTTTCAACATTACTTTTCAGAAAGAATGGTTTGTATCTATCTTTCTAAGTAATTTTGTTTGGAAAGCAAAATGCTATCAAAGTTAACAGCTGCAATACTAAAACAGTACAATGGTTTATTATCCCTTTTTCTTCACCTTATTATATTCCACATGAAGCTTTTCTTGCTCATTTTCTAATTTATCCTTGATATTCTTCTGTTCAGCCATATTCTCCTGGATTTGAATCATGCGCATATTTCTCTCTATTTAAAAGAAAATTGCATTATTTCCTATCCTTGGCCATATTTTCAAGTTTTATGCACTGAAAAAAGTGAAGCAATGAAAAGCATAAAACCATAACAACACAAAAACCAGAAAACTATAGCCTATAGGTTTATTACACAGACTGAGTAGAATGAACAGTCATAACATTCACTTTCTCCTGCATAACTAGTATAGTTATTTAAAATGGTGAGCTTTGATCAGTCATCTAGCGAACAGTCCCAAAAACAGAATCACACCATTCCACACAGAAAGCGAGGAAAACACAAGAAAAAAAATAACACCAAAGGTACCTAAGCTTCCACTGCCTTCTTAGCAAAGACACTGCCTCCTGTTTATATTTGAAAGATTTTCTTCTTTTCTGAAATGTCTTTTTAAAAAAAATCACTAACTTTCTGTGTAAATACAGATACCAAGCAATAATATACCTGATGTAAAATGAAGTCATAATTCATATTTATCTATTAATAACAAAGAAATACAAGTAAAATGAAAAAGCCAATGAATCAGCACAGTACAGATACAACAAAGCAATAATTTTTCATTGAGAAAAATATGCAATTTTCATTCTTACCAAGGTAATAATTCACAAAATCAGCAGTGAGAGCTGGCTGTTTATGTTTTCTTCTTCCATCAACACTGGAACTAGTATCTGAAGTATCCACTGGAAAAATGTCTGTACTAATTCCCATTAACTCAGCTTTGCGCATAAGCTTACGTATTGCTGAAGCACTGCTAGTAAGTGGTCGTGGTAGCTTCTCCCTGGGAACCCAGGCCTGAGGCCTGGTGGTGCGGGCCAGCTCTGCCTTGGCACGATACTGCTGTAGCCTGGCATTGATTCGAGCCTGCAATAAAGAATTCTGTAAATTAAAAATGTAAGGGAAAATTCAAAATTGGTTTTGAGTTATATCCTTTGGAATGCATCTGCAATTTATTTGTATTTTAAAAGCCGCATGATCTAATCCATGCTATTTTCATTCCGGAACTCTAGGACTCAAGAAACAGCCACTGATACAGACATTTGACTTTACTTCAAAACGCATACACAAATAACACTATCCTTTCACTAGGTTTTGGAGGTATTCACAGGTGTCTTAATGAGATTTCCCCACTAATGAAAGTAACACAAATGATTGGTGGCTTTCAGACAATCCCTTCTAATAATGATAATTTGATGGGACTGTGAAAACTCACTACTGGGAAAAGCCTTGGCTGACCTATCAAAAATACATTTAGATACACTTTAAATTGGTATCTACGTGAGCAATAAAAGTTGATGAATAGCTTTTTTGCCATATTTGACATCCTTTCATAGGAACTCCTTTCTCAACGCCGTACCTCCTTATAAATGTTAAACTAGCTGATTATAATGTGCCAAAAACACAACCCAAACAGAAGTGAAGTAGGCAAGAGAAGCTCACAACATATATTGTTAATGACATCTGTATATTTGTGACCATCTGGGAGATCAACCCCAGAAGATCAAGTTGTTACTGACAGTTGGAAAACACTGTCTTGCGGGAACTCTATGTAGTGGCAATTCTAGCAGAAAATGACATCAACATACAAACCTTCAGAGGCAAAACTGCAACTGACTATCAGTTAAAGTTGTTTACTTGCCTGCAGAAAGAAGAAACTAAACTAATCCAACTGCCCCACCATATGGTATGAGATGCTCCTGAGACAAAAGCAAAAAAGTGTGCATATATATACACACTATGGTTAAGGAACATCTCTGATTACAAATAGCATTGTTGAAGGTATTACAGACAGTTTAACACACATTACCTTACTAGGTCTTGAACATTAATGACCAAGAAACACAGCAAATGTGGCTTGCAGGCCAGCTCTGACCCCAGGGGCTTTTTTCTTGGACCCACAGCAGCAAGAAACAGATATGCCTAAAGCCACCGCCTCCCTTTATTCTCCACCGGAAGGACGAAGGACGGCTTACAGCTTCCTCAGCTAAGATGCTTCTTTACTGAATACATGCTCAGTTCTGACTGACCTTAAATGACCGTGGGGTCATTTAAGATGCCATACAACTGTATACCCAGAGCTTTATTCCAGAAAGAGATGACAGATTAAAATGACTAATGTCTAAATGTAATCCTGAACTCTAGTTACTTGGATTTAAGCAATTTTCAAGTATACGCTTTACTCAAGGAATATACATTTCCTTTATTGATATAAAAAAAGTATTTCAATGTAGAACACCTTGCAATAATCCGTTAACAGTCCTAGAGAGCTTTATACATTATATTCTTTACAGGGTTTTATTTTCTTGGGCCACAGGACTTGCTCAGTTACTTGCTCAGGACTTGCTCAGTTACTCCTGCCTGGGCCACAAAGCACCAAATATCCTTTTTTCCTCCTTCAAAAGTGTGCCTCAAAAATTCACTTTCACAATACCAGATAAATTATTTGTACAACTGCATTCTTATTTATGTTAGCTCAATGTCTGTAAACCTTACTTAAGCCTACAAACTCCCCTTGAAGTAAGCTTTTGAACATTCATATATACACACTATATATGTATTTACTTCTTAAATCTTTTTTTCCAGATTAAGCTGTCTCAGGATTCTTATTTCTCAGACAAAATCCTAATTTAATAAAGATGGTTGAATTTACTGGTGGGATTTTAACTTCTTCATGCAGACAACATATGGTAAGGTAAGGGGTGAATTTATACATACTTTGTGTCAACTCCTCAGTCAGATATTTCTAGTGTGTATTAAGTACCCCCTACAGCTCTGCATCTCTAAAAAGGCACAGAAACCACTCAAAGAATTATTTCATAAAATCTCAATACATACAACTCAACATAGAAATGTATTTTTCAAGCATCCAATCTGTTTCCATCCATGTAAACTCAGGCACGCACACAATACTAATGCAAACTCATACAACACTAGAGCCATCAATAGTGAAATTAAGTGGTTTTACAAAATGTATGCAAGTTATCAAATTTGTATCAAGATGCCTATGACGCCATGTCAAGTAACTCCACCTCCAGTTTTCAGGATTCATTCTTTCAGTTTCTAAACATTTAATCCAAATAATTTAGATTAAAAAATTTGCAGGGTCTTTGTATGGGTGAAAAAGGGGGAAGAGAGGGAAATGCTGGGAACTTATCAGCATTATCAGCACCGCATAACAAACGCCTGAAAACAGAGCTAATAAGCCCTGTTGGACCCAAACTGATTTTGCACAATCAGTACTTACCATTATGTTGGGTAATATTCATATTATTGTGATTTCTCCACTACATAGGTGCATTTCACGTAATTAAGAGCTGAGTGTATTCAGCAAAAATTATGTAACCAGTTTTGAATCAAGCTACATGAAGCTCAATACATACCCCATAGAAATATTTTATTCAAAATTCTTCTATGATAGAGTTTGCTCTTATTCGTTCTCAAATGCACAGGTCATTTTAAATTAATATTCTCTTCTCCTATTCAAAGACTTTTGAAGAACTAGAAAGGTATGGGTTTTTTAAATAAAAAGTTTGACGATATGAAGATTTATTTTCTGATCATTACACTACAGTTCTCCCTTCAGAAAAAAAAAGACACTTATTTCTCTCCCAAAACTGCCTTCCATTATTTGCAGCATCTGCTACTTTCTGCAATAAATTAGGCAGGATTCATTCAGATGAGCTGCTTTTCTACATAGGTACAATTTTTCCACAGAATGTTCAGCCTAAGCAGTGAAAGCAAAGTATGCTATGAATTCCTCAGAATCAGAAAAAATAATAAAGTACACACATTAAAACATATCAAAGTACACACATTCCCTCAGAAGGACTGAAACCTTTATATCAACAGAACATTTATCGGTTGAGCTTATGCACTAACTAATAGTTTTACATGGATCTGCCACTAGACTTTGCCTAAGATTTTCAGACAATTCCCACTCAGCAGCAAAGACTCAGTTTCGGAACCTACATGGATTTTTTTTCTAGGAAATCTTTACTATGAAAAAAACCAGCACATAGAATTCTACTTAGGCCTAAAAAAAAGTGAAAAAGGATCTAACGAGAAAAAACTTTAGGCAAGCTAAACTCTTCTGCGAAGTTCAAGATATTACTAAGGGAAAAAAGTGGATTTTTACTGAACTTGGATGTAGAAACATACCTAATTTCTTGTCTGGATGTCTTTTTTTGATAAGAATCTTGAAGAAAATGTTAAACAAAATCTATAAATTACAATGAAAATGTAATTACCAACTTATTGCCACAAACCCAAACAAAACAAGATTTTTCAATTCAGACAAGCATAGGTATCCCTATTTGATAATTAGTTTATTGAGAATTGTTCTTAGAGACCAAAGGCTACAAATAATTCACTGCTTTGTTAAATGACCATGCACTATCAATATATTTCACATTTCATTTCCTACTATAATAACAATTTCCCATCCTCTTCACTTCTTTCTTGTTTAACATGGATGATTAATAGATGTATTTGTGTCATGAATACAATACCTGAGCTTCTGGTGAGAGCTGTTTTTCTCTTTCCTGCAAGGACATTTTACAGTAAGATTGCAATGCCAAGTAGTTCTTCCGCTTCCATTTTCTGTCTAACCTGTCCGCATGCTGTTTACAATAAGCAAAAAAAGGGTCAGCTATATCCTGTTTCAGAGAAAACAAAGGGGAAGGAACGAAAATAAAGTAAGACATACAAGGCCAAAAGGCTCTGAATAGCACAAACATTCTGGCAATCAGTTCACATGTTCAAATAGACATGTTTTTAAAAACAACTAATATGTATGTTTCTAAATCAATTTTTGTCATGTTGATGTAATTTACCATATAAAGTGTTTTTCCATTGTTTTCATTGTGTGACCCTAAACGTTTTTAAATGCATTAACTATTTAACTCTCTACTGTTCAACCTCTATTTTCTCATTCCCAGAAAAAACAGCAGAAGAAATTCCTAAGTACAAATCCATTTAACATATAACATATATTGTTAACTTCCTGCTGCTTCACTGTGTCATCTTTTGCATTATATCCTACAAGGGATTAACAATTCTGAATAATACAAGAGGCAATATATTTGGTTTTCTCAAATGATTTTCCAAATGGTTTTGGTGGCTATACCCCCATGTGACTTATCATATCTCAGATAATTTTTTTTTTCCATTTTTCATTCTTTGCTCCATCAGATCTGCACATTATCATGGCTGTAAGTTTATAGCAACTTTTAGCACTTGCAAATCTTGCAAGCAGACTACAAATATCTGAGCCATGAGGAGATATAGTTTGAGAAGTGTATTTCATTGCCAGTATATTTTCAAAAGTGTAGAAACATCATCATAAATCTACAGACTAGGAATTTAAAGCAGTCTTCCTTCATCAAGTAATAAAAATATTAATAAATAATTTGCCTATCAAGTCTTCCTTTACCCCACCTATAAAACACAGACCAATAAAATCTATGCAGGCTTTCCTTACAAACGTATTTTATTTTGATTTGGATTTTCAGAGTGTGTGACAACCTACTTCCAAAAATTAGCAGCACCCTAGAATTAGATTCTGTGAGGCCTTGATTAAAAATATTTTGGTTACAGAAAACACATAAGAAAATTTTAAGGTGGAGAGGCAAGTAAATGCATATGCCTAGAAGAAATTTACAGTGTGTTCGACGAATTAACGTTACACGTAATTTATTAGGGACAACAACAATGAGGTAATTGTACTATCTTCCTATTTATCACTTCAGAAACAAAAGTGTCAATGTCAATAGTGCAAGTAATGCTTGTTTGTGTGTTACCTTTGGTACTTCCTAAAGCAGTAAGAAGTTAAATTGTGTAGTTATGAACATGACAGGCTTAATCCAAACGATACATATCAGGATGAAATTTGGCAACCTGAAAGTACTTATACCGTAAAAATGAATTCAGAAGTAGCAGCTTCAAATCTAAATTGCTTTAATCATATTACAGGAAGAAAGCTGGTAAGAACAGATATTAAAAAGTTATCAGTAGGTTATAAATGTTTGCTTTTCATTCTGATTCCTAAGATTAATGTTACCACAAGAAAAGTCATATACCTGTACTGCAATTTGAAGAAAATACTGGAAAACATGCATGAAAAAAAAGCATTAGAAATGTAGTTAATTTCTCAACTCAGTCCTATTTGGTATGAAACAGAGATTACTACACTACATAAACAGCTAGGTAAGTATGTCAACCTAGGTGAAGTTCAAGAATTAGAATTCATGTCTGTATTGGTTGATAGTCTTGTAAGCCAACTTCTGTGTTAACCTCCTCTAGCCCTTTTTCCAAGCTATTTCAAAAGGTGCTCAGAGTTGGACAATTTGGTGAACAAAGGGCCCTCCCTGGACAGTGCCTTTACTTGGCCTATGACTTGCTACCGATTTACAAAAACTTTGCTCAGGGTTAGCAAACAAAAAAGGCACAATTTCAGGTTGTCTTCACAAGCTTTCAATACAATTCTTTTATTCTATCCTTTCCATAGCTACCTCTTCTGCTGCTGCTTCTGAGAGGAGGCCTTCCTTCTGAGCGCAGGTCACATGGAAATAAGCTCTGCACATCCCAGCATCACAACTAATGCATACACCAGTTCTGGCAAAACGAGGATCTTCGCAAAAACTGCATTCCTTTATAAAGAAGAGTGGTAAATGCCACAGTAAATATTTCAGGTGTGTTTTGCCTAATATTTGATAATTTACGTCTTGCATATAAAAACCAAACAGGTTTCTTCCTGTGTGGTACAGAAACCAAGTATGCTGCTGACAATTGACACTACTTAAAACTTCACCCCTTCCCAATCCTCACTATCGATTTCATTTTCAACTAGCAATGGAAAAGTGCTTCAACAACCTAAACAGCATGTTGGATGAATTTTTATATAAACTTCCATGTCTTGTATTCCCCTTCAGAGCAACAACTAAATACCACCCGAGCAATTCATGCACAATTATTTATATAAGTATGGTATCATAAAACAACATTACTGCTCAGCAAATGTTCAATTGTTCAACAAGTTCAGAGGACAAACCACAAAAAAAGAGCAGTGCTCTGGATGACTGAAAACCATAGATAATAACACAGATGTCCTTTGATAAGCAATGACTGAGGAGGAAATGTGTGACAATGCAGAAAGAAATACTCAAGAATTGTAAATATCAGTAAAGAAAGTTGTGATTCACTTAAACACTGCACTAGGGCTTCAGCTACATGCATTCTAGGCACAGCCGTTTGCAACACAGCAAACTGACATCCCCTAATGTGACCTGGAAAAAAAAAAAAAACCAAACTTATTTTTCAGCCAGATCAATTCCTCAGTCTGTTTCACCACAAATTCATACCAAACAGCTGTGCCAGCAAACTAGAGTGATGGGCACATAAGCAAGAACAAGCAATGGAACATGGGCTGCTTACGCAGTGCTGCTATCCAGTGCATAAAGATGATCTAGAATTATACAGGTGTGCATTTCTTAATCTCTCACACGCCGAATACAGAGCAAAGCTGTGCATCACCTACAGAAAATATCTCCACGCAGAAAGTTAAACAGCAACAGAAGGTAATGGCAAAGAAAACGCAGTGATTGAAGAATTTCAAAACATCGCATACACTACCCTAAAAGGGCACCCTTTAGCTGCGCAACAGCAACACGTAACAGATTAGAAATGAAGTGAAAAAGAAAATTATATTAAGTTGGTTTTGCAGGGGGCAATTTAGCCAAGTAAGCTGTAACTTCCACACTTGATACAGCAAACAGTGTGTTTACCGGTCTGCAAGAGTAATGAGTCCTCATCTGTGCAGTTTACTTTCACCTTACTCACAGTAATAAAATATACCCAAATTCTTAGCCCTGCTCCAATATATCACTCATGTTAATTAAAAAAAAAATAAAATGCACAATTCACTGCAACAACAGTTTGCAGGGTCTCGGCAGCTTGCTCCGACTCTTTTTTTATACAAACATTTCTAAACAATGCTAAATGCCTCAGCAGGCCCATGCTGAACATGGTCCTGATACATGTATGTTGCACATGGGCAATCCAAAGTGTTTTAATTTATTTTATGTATTATACATATTTTTAAAAATGTACTATATATTTCCATTTAGTATTCCAACTTGACAAATTCACATTCCAGAAAATGAAATTGACTATGCACAAATGAAGCATTAGAGCAGCAGGAGTACAACCAGCTTGCCTCACATTAGCCTGATAGATATGGCTTCTCCACACTGTCCCCATTACCCACAGAAACAGTATTTAGCAAATTACTGAGTGCTGTCCTCTGCCCATTGCAATGGTTTTCTGTATGGTTTGTGCGTGATCACTTTTGATCTGGATTGAAAACATTTACATGTAAAACCATTTCAATTTTAGAGCCATTTTTCTGTTCGAGTTGACAGCCCCATGTTGTGGGTTTTTTTTAAACACTGCTTTGCGGCAACCTTTTTGTATGCATTCTAGCTTGTAATTATATAGACTCTAAAGTCATTCTTACTGAATGTACATCTGTCGTTTTCTTAATCAACCTAACCTTCCATTTCTCCATTTCGCATCCCATAAATCCTCTTCACTTTCCATACACATTTTGGCAATCTGCCACTAACTGACTTTAAAAGAAAGTAATTAGCACCTGCATAAAAAATAAGGGAAATTAGGGGGAAAACAAAGACAGAAATTATGGATAACAGTGGTAAGAACAGAAACAGAAAGAAAGAGGGAGGGAAGAGCAATGGTATAACAACCATGAACAAACTTCATCTCATTTTTAGTCCTGAACCTCACTGCAATTGCTAGAAACACGAAAAATAAAGTTGGGAAGATGTATGTTATTCTATTATATGTAAAAATGTAAAATAAAGCTACTCGTTGGCAGTACGTTTCTTCTAAGCTTACCTTGGCACCGTACTTTGAATAATTCATTTCTGTTAGCGTTACTGGCCGCAGTTTGTCAATATCTCCAAATGCCACTCCTGGAACATAGAGGGCACAAACAATATGGACCCACCTAAAACAGCAGATAAAATTAGGTTACTATTATCGACATTTTGTTCCTATATTATACTCACCATTTGTGGATTTCAAAGTGCCTTGTAAATGTTAACAGATGCTAGAAGAAATGTGATTGAAGGAAAGTACATTAGAAGCAGGGAGAGAACGCATATTTGGAGTTCAGCAGCTCACACACTGAACCACAGAGTAAGGCTTTTCAAAGCCACTGGGATTGCTCTGCCTGTCTGGATCAAGGGCTGGGCTACCTTCTGTTCTGATGGCTCTTAAGTGGGGCTCCACCCTGCATTTTATGCAACATGAAATGTACATGAAGAGTTCAATATTACTTATAAAGCTAAGGCAAACAATTACTTTCATGATGGGGCAGAGGGTGCAAAGAGGAGAAACAAAATTATACAGGTAGTCACAGCAACACTGAGCCCTAGGCATTTAGCTACGTAGTACCTCAACACAGCATCAGTCAGACTTTGCGTTGTTATAGTTACACCTGTTAGTATCACCAAAACTAACTAGTTTTAAGCAACATGGATAGGAGCTGCATTCAGTTATAAACATACCTGAGTTGTATTACAGAAGTGCCTATCTGAAACTCAGATGAACAGACTGTTACTTAGCTGTACTCTTCTTCGCTGGCCATAAACAAACTGCAGGGTAATACGTCTAAATCTTCAGCCCCAAATGGCATAAAATGAGACAGCATGAATCTGGACCTTAGTGTCTAGTAATTAAATACAACACAATGATAATGGCTTCAGCCTCAGGCAAGCCTGCCTTTGACAGACATCCTCATAACCTCCTGAAACTCTCAGTTACCAAAAGACAGCCTTGCAGCAGAAGACAATTTTCTTCTTCTTACGGAATCAACACTTTCTAAAAGATCCACCAGTTAGTGACAAACTCAAAATCTGTTCCACGCAGCATGCACAATTCAAGTCAACTGAGACAAACTATTCCAAAAAATGAAGTGTTCCTTCCCAACATAATCTTGCTGTTTTATCAAAACTCCAGAAACTATTTGCTACTCCTTTCTAAGTCACTAGGTGGGAGCAAACTGTCATAGACAGAAGGTCAAGATTGCTACTTTCTATTACCTTAAAATATTCAAGAAAACAGCCTTACAATTGCAGAGATCTGTAACTACCACTTTCAACCTACAAGTTCCCAGATGACATGGGATACAACTAGAGACTTCGGACATAACTGAGCTGAAATATCTTATGTTTTACCCTTAGCAAGTACGTTAATTCAGCACTTTACAATCTTCCCAGTCATTAACATTTAACAGTAAATATATCACTAGTGAAGATTAAAACTTCTGTTCTGTTCTAGTACAATCATAGAATCTACTCCCTGCATTCAATCGACTCATGATGCTGCCAGAAACACTTCTTCCCTTGGCTCTTTCATTACCCACATACTGCAATTTTCCAATCTCCCTAAATACCAGGGGTTCAGCACAGACCTGTTACCACCTACTTAAATCTGCATCCATGCTGCTGTGCTCTTTTCTCCCAATCTTCTACCACTGTTTAGTCTCTTCTCCCTCCTCTTTGTTTTGAGTGTCAATGAAAAAAAAAATTCAATTGGACCAGAGCAATAAGATCCTAGTTTTAGCTGCACTTATACATCATGTTTATTATTGACCTGTTATTAACTGGCTGTCTACCGATGAGAGAAATACTGAAGCTGATGGTTATACTAATCTGGAGCTACATGTAACCCTGATTTCCCATGTTTCCCAAATCAGCATGTTCCTCATCAGTGGTCCTTAGACCTACAATGCTGGAACTTATCATATTCAGAATTATTAAGTTTCGTGTTAATTATATATGACTCATATATCCAAACAGAAATTCCAAAAAAGCAAGATATGAAAGGTTCAGTAGCAAGCTCAAAAATACATATACATCTAAGTCTTTACAAAAGACTCCACAATTACTATTCTTTACAAAAGAAAACAGTGATCTTGCAATGTATAAAATTGGTGGACAGACTGTTTATTTAGCATTTTCCCCAAAAATAGTCCGTGGTAATAACCGGAAAACAGAAAAATCCCAGCAACAGTAAGAAACTACTTATAAGCCATTAACTCACTTCACTCCAGAAGAAATTTCTCAGTAAATCTAACATAAGTCACAACACTGACTGATCCATAGTGTCATATCTGACAAGACTCTTTTCACCTGTGGATCTGAAAACAAGTTTTTACCCTATTGTTAAATCACTCAGGTTTGAGATGCTAAGTGGTAAATTCCCTTTAAAACATGAAAACTTAAAACAATGAGAAGAATGTACATCCTAAATACACATTTACATGCAACAACTGCATTGCTTTGTCTTTACAGATTTTACTAGGGTTCTCCACATCCACAAAACCGTAACTACTGGAAGACTGAAAGAAAATTTAAAGCTTAAAATGAGTTACAACCTTGTCTTTAAATAACATGGTACAAATATGACAGCATGCTAGCTGCCAGAGAACAAGCTGAGATACTCAAGTGTTCTGCCAAACTTCTTGCTGCTCTGATAGGGAGTAAAGCTCATTGCTGTTCTTATTACAGTATAAACACTCCAGCACACCAGCACAACCTCCTAACTTAATACAATGTTATATGCAAAAAATAAGATTCTTCTCTTCACTATATGAGAAGTGCATCTTCTGTCTGCCTACCCACAAAAGCAATGGAGGCACAAGATATTCCTGCAGGGGAGCAATGGAGCACATGGTACCATCTCTGCCCTTCCACGCCGTATGCAGAACTGGCTATAGTTTGGCCTAAATCCCTACCATACCTTTATGAAATATTCTTCTACAAAAAAAGCGTATCTGTGTGCATAAATGTGTATTTTGGTATATATTATGCATTTACTAAAATAAATACCTCATTTAAATGAGCATACTCTACTTGTTTTCAAAAGGAATCAACTTTTTTTTTTTTTAAAAGCAAAATACCACATGCAGAATGAAACCTGTTACCTTGAGATAAAGAGACTGCTTGTTTGTAAATAAAAACCATCTGAATTCTGCAGGGCTTATTTTCTACACCCTTCCATTGCTTTAAGATGTGTTATATAGAACAAATTTGTACAAACAGAAATTACACATCTCCACAATTACTATTCTTAACAAAAATCCAAGGTTCTTTTTGGAAATTTTTGATAGTAAGTTTTAATATAGCCTCCTAAATGTACCCTCCAAAGTTCAATATAAAGATACACATCTTCTATAAGCAGCTGCTTCTCAATTTAATTTGCACAGTTTTTTCATGCTCCACTGGTGTATTAAATGCTGCTGCACTCTGTAAGAGTTTATCTATGATAAACCCAACAGCTGGCTGCTTCCTTCATACTGACCTTCTCAAAATGTTTTAGTGCATGTCACCCAAGTATTACAGTATTACAGATTTAAACTGCCATTTCAGTGTGATTGGCACACAAGTACCTCATTTCTTTAACCACCTATATGCGAACTCAGACCTGAATCTTTATTAAAAAACATACACAAGTCAGTCAAGTTCACAGCTGAAGCAATTTCAGCTGCTTTTAATACCAGTTCTAAATATTTTCCTGCTCATTTGTTTAGCTGCACATGTTTTAGAAGCTTGTAATTAAGACAAATTGGGTAATCAAAGAAGAATAATCTTCCTTGTTACTTTACCATCCATTTAGCTTGGAGCAATGACGACAGATGTTGATTAGGGAAGAAGAGAAACTCCATACCGAAACAAGGACAGAATTCATATTCTTGGATAATAGCATTTTGAGAAATAAAATTTCATAAATTCACATTTATGCTTGTGAAACTGAGAGGTTAATGTGAAAAGGCTTCTGCTGAGAAATTAAGCACCTCATTATTCTAATGATTTACCTTTCACATGGGAACAGAGAAACTATTCCAACTTGATTATGAGGAGAAAATGAATAGTTTGATCTCGCCTTTGTGTAATTTCCAGCACCGATGCATATGAAGAATTTCTTTTAAAAAGGTGGTAAGGGGATGGAGAGCAATGGTGAGTTAAAGGATTCTGTTATTCAGTAGTCTCTCTCTGCTAGTATTTCAAGAAAAGAACTGAATTGGATTCCAGTTTACCGAGTACAATGAAAACATAATGGACATTGCCTGCCTCTTAGTCTGTAGTGCCCCATTACCCTTGAGAATTCAAATTTGCAAATAAATGATAGAAAGAAAAAGAGCACAGGAATTTTCACATGGTAGACAGTATTTGTTTTCTTATAGTACCTAAGCTCTATTCATCTGGGAGAATAAACTTATACTTATTCATGATAGCCATATCACACTATCTAGCAGGTAAATATACAATAATAACAATAATAACAATAATAAATTAATGCATCAATGCCCAAAATCACCAAAGCAGGCATGTGCTTCTGCACAGAGAACCAGTGTCACAGCAAAAACACTTTCACATTAACCAAAAGCATACTACCATTTTACAAGAAGAAATTGAAGCAATTTTTAAAATGTTGACTGTAGCTTCTATTATGGTTATATGGGAAATTACATATATAGTGCTTAAATGGCCTTACGGAACACAGGAATAAAAAGGCTGAAATAAAATTTGCCAAGTGATATTGATTCTCACATTTCCTAGCTGTTAGACAATTGATTTTAGTCTTTCAAAAATTTTTTCCATATATCAGTATTATTATTAAAATAAAAAACAGAACTAAGAAGTACAATTTGTTTAATTGTATAACACCTTTATAAGGGAGACGCACAGACATTGTTGAACCTAAGACAGACCAGAAACTGAGCATCTGAACCCCAAAGTATTTAAAAAGAAGCACAACTGCTTCTATGGGGTCAAAATTATTCACTACAAATCCTGACTCACTTGTGTAACTTTTTTTTTTTAAAATAGCACAGTATTTTCTTCTACTTTCATTGTTTCCCCTTTATAAGATGCAGTAGAAGACATGAAGGAAAAAAAGATTTCTTTTACATGCTGTATGTGTATCTTTAAAATGCATCTCAGCTACAAACTGAGAAGCTGAGCTCAATGTATATTCAGTGGAGAAAGGTAGATGCCTTGGTTATTGCTAGCATCTGCATCCAATGGTCAAAGTTCAGTGTTATGAATACCCTCGTTATCTCTTTACTCCCAACACAAACTCAAATTGTTTTTGCTATCAGGAAAAAATACAAACTAAGGGAGAAATGCAAGGGCATGTACAATTTAATCCACAAAACCTGAATCAACTTATGACATTTTAATACCGTATTTACTTTTCTGAAAACAGACAACACAGTATGTCACAAAAGGTTTTCCAAAACATCATCCTGAGCTCTGCTGAGCTTTTAATGATGGCAGGACCAGATTGTTACAGTATTAGCAACAGTAAAGTCTGTGTAAGACCAGAAAGTAAGAAAAAAAATTACAGCAAACACCAAAGAACTGGGGGGGAAAATGGGGGAAAAAAAGGCAGATATGGATATGCTTATGCACACATTACAAGACAGCTGTATACTTAAGTGATAACATATACAAAAGCTTACTAACACATATGATAAAACTTTTTACTTCATTTTAACTAACTTCCTAGCGTTTGTGCAAGTCTAACTAAGGAACTCTTCACAATGAGTAGGAAAAACCATAAAGACTGCTATAAGCCAGTGGGTAAAGAAAAAGCAAGGACATGGTTATATTTTGTGATTTGCTAGTAAAAAAGATGTTGTTCTACAATATATAGCTAAGTGTAAATAATAATGTGTCTGTGAATTTATATTAAAAAACATAAAAGGTTTTACACTAACACATGTTGACATTTCTGAACTTTAGAGTACTTAAAGTATTTGTACTAATACTGAGTATTTAACTGGATTCTTTCCAGCTCATCCATCATCATCAGTAAGATATGTCTGCAGACTTTTATATTCCTACATCTCAAACAGATATGTTCAAACAGGATTAAGAAAGCTTCTCTTTCCTCTGAACAGCCTTAGCAACTAATTATTGCCTTCCCATGTTAACATGATCAACGAAAAGCTTATGAGTAGAGGAAGTTAACATCCCATAAACTCTTACTGGGTTTTGTAAGGCCCAGCATCTGAAACCTTTGTATATTACCACATACCTGCAATTTATATAACTGTAAAATGTATGAAAGAACTTAACTGTCATGGTCTTAAAAACAAAACAAAACAAAACCCATTCACCAAAAAGCAGTAACACTAGCCATAAATCAGACATCACTGATAATCCTGCTCTCTCCTTTACTATAGAAAATTAGTTACCATTAATATCCACATATTAATTTATTTTCCAAATGTGACAGGAATGGAAGACATCACATGAGAATTAATCCCCTTACTCTCAAATTAGACCTGAAGTCCTTCCTAAAAAGCCCATCTCTGGCTGGTAATTATCAGAAATGAAGCATACTCTCAAAAATTCTCATCATTCAAAATAATTATAATATACCAGGTCTGTCTGAATACTTTCAGCATAACTTCAATATAATTTTGTTTACTTTTTTCCATTACCTGACATCAGTACTTAGCTCTCCTAAAAAGAAGCATGGAGTTGTACTCCCACTTCTGTCATACTTAAAAGTCAATAGACTTGAGCAGAGTTTGTACAAGATTACAGTGACCTTGCACGAAGCAGAATACTACAGAAAGGATAAAGTCTACTTTTCCTTCCTTGAAATGGAGCACGTGCTTTGATTTTCCCAATGGCCACATAATTCTCCCAGTCCAATATGACACGAAGTCTGGAAGGTGTTCTCCCCCTCTGCTGCAGACTTCATCATTCTTTTTTGTGGCAGTATTAACTAAAGAAGAGCACTTCAGTGTTTTGCTACTCTTCAGAATTAACCATGAAAGATGCATAATACTAGCAAGGCATAAAATGCAGCTTTCTGGCAGCTGATTAAATTGAACTAGCAGAACACATGCTCAAATTCTACAGAGATTGACGGCAGATATCAAACACTCCAAGCTCAGTCACCATCAGAGAACCACTGTGACCAGCCCCAGCAGCTGTTCTTGCTAGAACATAATACTACTATTCAGCAGTGAGGCTCAAGGGACTCAAACCTTGCTTTTCTCACTGCAACCTCCAAGCTTGAGCAAACCCAAAACAACTACATGATTTTTCTTAGGTTTCTGAACCCCAGTCCCTGCTGTCAATAGTTCAAGCCATTGGTTAAGTGAGAGAATTCTTTCATGCCGTTATCCTTGCACATGTCTGAACACTGAATAAGAGTTTATGGGATATTAACTTCCTCTACACAGGAAACCTTTTTGTTTAAATGTAAACTGCATTTCTGATGCAAACAAAAAAAGATAGTTTCTTTTTCAAGAGTCACATCACCTTCACTAGTATGTTTTTTTGTTAAAAAACATGCATCACACAAGTAGTTCAAGGGAACAAAGAAAGGTCTTCTAATATATCCAGTAAGACATCTATATACATATAACAATATATGGTGACTTCATACTGAAGAACAGGATTTATCAGTCCCTGAAGTAAATGGTGATCTTTGTTTCACCTGGGTACATCTTTTGCTCATAGGTCCATAGATCTTCATGCTCAAATTCACCTTATAATAACATCTTCCTAATATTACAATGAGCATGAAGAACATTAGGAGCACACAAAAAATTAGGTGATTGACTATCCAAAGAGCACCCAACTCAAAAGTGAGGTGAGAGAGAGAGAGAGGACATCAACAACAAAGCTTAATTTATGACACTCCCTCCTGTAGGAGCAGACTAGGGCAAAACACAATCTTTTAAATGTAAGATGACATCAAATTCAAAAGATCACTTCTTCAGTCTTACCTGCCTGCATCAGTCTCCTTGAAGATCCCATCCTGGTTAGGACACAATTCACAACTAGGTGTGACACCACATTTGCATGCATCACAAAACCAAGGTTCCGTAGAATTTTCTGAAGCTGAGCTCATGATAGAGTCACTCTCTCCATCAACACCATAGCAACCTACGCACATGAAAAACGGAAGACCAATATAAGAAAAGACAATTGTAAAAGTAGACAGTTGTCAGTAAAACACATATACACTCAGAAGAATGATACTGAAAGTCCCAAGAAAGCTTACAATTATTTTTGCAAATATTATCTTTAGTGCAAAATTTACATTTTTAAGAAACCCTAATTCCAAGAAGTGATCTAATTTATGTGATAAAGTGATCTATTTTATGTGTGTCTTAGATTACAACTGAACAACAAGAAGAAAAAGGCTGCTTTACTTTATTCTTTTAGCAATGCTTGGTGTTCTTCCAGATTATCCATTAAGAAGAAAAGTAAGAAAACAAGACTTAAAGCAACCAACAAAAACAGCGAAAAACTCAAAGCTGCTTTTTTTTTTTTTTCCCAAATAAAGAAATATATTTAAAGTTAAATGCAACAAGCTAAGGAAAATTTTAAAAATCCCAATAAAACACTGATCAATTACACTATTTTATGAAGATATTTACAAGAATGGTTCTTCATTCCTTTATTATTATGCTATAAGATCCTGTACGCCATATCCCACTCCTCTCCTCCAGTATGGCAAGTGTAGTGCTTATGTTGAGCTACCTATCTTTCCATGCAACCTGTGAAGTCTGCTTTCAGTTGGATCAACAGTCTAATTCAAATTACAACATGGTTTCTTGAATACTACCACCAAGTGAAGAATCCGTGTGTATCACAGGTCAGATTGCAGATTTGTGAGCATCTGCAGGCTTCTCTTGGATATTCCTATCTTTCTCCCTCTCCCTAATCTGAAAATGAAACATCGTTTTTAAGGGGGGGATGGGTGGGTGGGGTTGAGTGAGGTTTTTTTTTAGAGGTTGATTACGTCAGTAGTATCCAGTCAACAAATATGCACTCCACTTTTCCACTTTGCATTCAGCATCTAAATCAACTAAAAGAGAATATACACATGAAATAAAAAACACTATTTGCATACTTTAGGGGTTGTAGGACTGAGCTTAAAAGACCTTCTATAACTTCAAAACCAAAGTATAATTTGCAGAGCACAGATTGACAGTTTTTTGAGACATCAGCCTGATGAAGCATATGAATTTTTTTGAAGCAATCACCATTCTCATTTTTACCTCATTTTAAATTATGGCTAAATTCAATCATTCAGTATCTCCATTCTTCTTTAGTATACCCACTGTATTCTTTATGATTGTTAAGGTGTCTATGCATGCTTAATCACCACAAATTTAGGAAAAGACTATTTTTAAAGTGATTTAGAAGCTTGTTATTTAAATTTTGCACGAGTAGTATTATTACTACCGCAAATGACAAAAAGGAAAATCTTAAAGCTTATCACCACAAAACTGTGTTTCTGCATATGCCACATTTTGAACATTTATCTGTTATTCAGTAAGAGAAAAATATGATTTCATTGTCAACACTTAAAACACAGTAGAGACTTTATTAAAAGATTAAATTCAGCTATTTGTCAAAAAAGGTGATCAAGTCAACATTTGTGCTAGCAGAACAGTTAAATTATTGAATTCTGCAATTAAATAGCAACATGATGTATTACTTTCGTTCATTACCCAGTGACTAATAAAACAGCAACAGTGCTCTAACTCCCCTTGTGACAGAAACAGAGCTCTGCATAATAGACTAAAGCTACATTCAGCAAAAAAGCAATAACACTGTAGGAACCATTTAAGAAATACAGTATTTCATTACAGAATGAGGTTCATCAATAAGAATTAAAATAAGAAGCCAGAATGTTTCTTTTCATTATAAAAGTATTCCAGAATCAAAGGACAAGTAATGCGCAGAAGTACATCACAGACAAGTTTCATTAGGTATATAAAATATATAGTTCACACATAAACCAACTCCATTTTCTTTATAATGTGATACCAGCTTTAAGTAGTATTCCAGAAAGTTATTTTTTAAGTTCTAACAACACAATCTTGAATACATGCCAGTAAGGCTACTTTTAAGCAATTATATTAATGTACAAACACACAGCCCATTGATAACATACAGCTGATGGATAATTAAGCTTTTTATAATTCCTACAGCCTTCTTAACAAATTAACATTTTCCTAAATGTACTTACTGAAAATTACCTAACAGTATAGAGCAGTAATACTTTAATGATGTCTACTCAAGTCTTGGGACCCAACAGCTGAAGTTTAAATTTGATCTAATAATACTTAAAAAAATGAAGAGCTGAGTCCCAAAATTAATTAGAAACCACTTGTTAAGCTGTATTTTTTGCTAAGTATATGCAAGTATTTTAACCCAGAATTTTTCTTATGTTTGCTATAAAGAGTCATTTGTTGCTTTTGGGTTGTTAAGTGATAACAGAAACCAAAGGAGAGACAAATTTCGTCAACTGTAATATCCGATGAATAATACAAATCTGTTGAACAGCTGTATTCATGAAATGTCTGTAAAGCTATAATATATAAGTAAGATGACAAACTTCAGATGTGGTTTTGACACCAAAAATCAATATGTATATGAAGAGAATTAAATTCCTTTATAAAAAACAGCAGTAAAAGTTCCTTGCAGGCCAAAAACATATAGTGAAGCAAAAAATTAGTAATAGCTCAATTTTTAAATAATAAAACTTTCATGATTCAAAACCAGCAAAATAACTTGGAACAAAAAATAATCAATTTGTCCTGAATCAATATATTTGTCCTGACTCAAAGAATGACAGATAACACAATGATGATGTCATTTGACATTAAGATGCCAGATGTGTATAGAGGCAGATGTAATGTTTGTTTTTCAAATGTACAAGGAACAAAAAAACCACTTGATTCCCCTTCAATTGAGATATGAAGGCAAAAGCAGTTTCAGAACAAAACCCTATTGTAGAAATATGTCAATTTTGCTAAAACTTTGAATTTCAATCCAAGTAAGTGTATCTGGAACAATGAAAAGCTAAGATCATCATAGCATTTATCTGGGATATGAAAGAGTCTGAAGTCTCTGCCCAGTCCAAACCAGAGCAAGGATGATAATAATCTATTCTTCCACAACCAGTGCTCTGATCATGCTCTGATCACAGGCGGTAGTTATTCCAGAATAAATACCTCAGTCTCTTCTGTGAGTTGCTCCACTTCGATATATAAACATTACAGTATTTATTGTACTAGATGTTTACTAATTCTGTAGCCTAACTGCAGCAGGTCAAAATTGTTCCAACATATTGTGAAACAAAAAAAACTCTAATACCTTACAGTTTTTCAAGAAATGGAAACCTACTTACTGGTTATTAACTAGCAACCATAATGAAAACCCTGGCAAAGCTGAGGAATACTGCTCAGTAAGCGTCTGTAGTGTCAAAATTAAAAAAATAAATTTTCAAAATTTCTCAATATACTGACTTTATTTTTTCTCGTTATCACAAGCTGCAATACTGCCAACAGAAAAACTAATTTGATCAGATTAACATCACGTTTTTAAACAACAGAATGCTATACACACCTTATCAAAATTTAGAATTGTGGATAAACACATTATCAAATACATTCAAGCAAGCAGATGCAATTAATTAACACTAATGAAAAAGATGAACTTGCAGTTCTACATCAGATTTTCAGCGGCTTTCACTTTCCAATTTCAAGTAACTTTATGATAGTCATGCTAAGGGATTCATATTTCCCTTAATAAGTTGAAACTGTGGGGAAAAAAGTGTTTTCTACTGCATAGCTGTAATTGATTTTTTGTGTATTTAAATCAGACTTACAGTATAAAAGGCACTTGATAAAAAAACCTACATGCAGTTTTGTCCAAATCTGTCTGAAAAGTTACAATATCTAGATCAAGAGTTCAGAGTTTTTAAGAACAGCTGTATTTTCGTATTTTTACCACGGTAATATTCTTTTACCTGTAAAAGACAATTACCTCTTTAAATACATCATTTTAGGATCCATAAAACTGCTGAGTACAACAAAGGCTCAACTTATTACTGTCTGCCTTCTTTTGCTATGCTGAAAGAATTATTTTGGTCCTATTAACAAAAATTTTAAAAAGCATTATTTTTATGAATCTTTAAAATGCATAGACATGGAGATACGAAGCTGCTGCTTGATAAATCATCCCATTCTAGTATTAAACAGTTAAAGTTAAGCTGATGAGCAGGAAAAAGTTGTCGAATCCAACTTCCCTGTATGAATTGTTGGGAATTGCTGGTGTTGGAACAGAAAGCAATGTAAGGGCTCACGCTACAAGTAAGTCTCCCAAGCATTATCAGGAGGTAATCTTTAGGTTCTTCCTAAAAGCACCGCAGTTGTGTAGATGGTGTGACAACCTGAGGATTGAACGGACAACAGAGAAATGCATACACATCTTGTAACTGAAACCAAACACGTCATTTATTATCACTGCACCTGTGACCTATTCGGCATTAAGTTAACCACCCGCCTCTTTGACTGGAAAATATGTTGAAGAAAATGAAACAACTTTTAAACACTTTGCTTAAAATGCATGCTGCCTTTCCTTAATGTTCACAAAAATTCTGAATTTTGGATCCTTAGAATACTCTAGAGCCCCTTTTCAACTAAAGTTCATTAAATCCTCATGTTTATATATTCTTAGATTACCATATCACAACTGCATGTCTGCCACCTCTGTGAATACCTCTTAAACTAAACAATAAAACTGGTTTAGTGTAATATTAACCTATGAATTTAAACACATGAAAGTCAAGAAGTTAAAACTCTCACATTTACTGTTCCACAAACTGCATCTATATAGTACGATTACAGCCAAGTTGTCTATTGAATGTATGCCATTTTATACAGAAAACGAACTTTTTTATTCCCTGATTTTGAAGTCATGTACTCTGTCAATAGCTTATTTTTCATGTGATTGCCATTAAAATGAAATTGCAAACACCATTAAAACAGTTGTTCTGAAATTTATACCACGGAGGGAAATGGGAAGAGAGACCTAATTCTTGCCTTGGCTGCATTTGTTCCTCCGTCTCTCTGGGAGGGTAATTTTTTGCCAGTCAAACAGAACATCTGCATATGCTAACTAAATCTACGTATACTCTGAAACATGATCTTATAAAGATTGTGAAAACTTCCAGGTAAACTGGAGGTTTGCAAAAATAAATGCTGTGAGATCACAGTATTTAAAATATGTTACATTCAATCCTTAATTGAACCAACAGTTTAGAATAAAGACATTGATCAATTCATGCATCATAAATTCAGAACAGTATTTTTATTTAATAAATGGAGAGTACTAGAGTACATGATTTCACAAAATGACTTTTTATTCCAGACAGCAGCAGACCAGGGTAAGCAGCAAAATTAAAATGCAAAAACATTTCACTACACTGTAAATCATATGGCGACCACACTATTGCTTTTAGCAAAAGAAATTTTATTCCCTGCCATACACATCACAGTAAAGTAAGAAACAAATAGAGAGGATGGAAAAGAAACCGCTGGAAAAATGTAGAACTACTCTCATTTAATTCACAGCAACTAACCCAAGGGCAATAGCTGGCAAGTGTACTACCTACAGTTATGGCACATGCTATGATATGCACCAGACATTTTCTTCAGACACGTTGCAATCAATATGTCAAAAAAACTGACAGCACAGTTGGGGGTGTCCTGCTATTACAAGATCTTACCACAAAAGCGTTTATCCAAAATGACAGATTAGTGCCTAAAGGAGATTTTTATAAAAAGAAATGAGAATTATATCCACACAGAAGTAAACACTGAAAAGAAACAGTACTACTACAAATTAAGAAAGATTTACAGTACTACTACAAATTAATTAAGAAAGTCGTTTTAAGCTTTTTTTTCCTTTTTTTTTTTTTTTTTGAAAAAAAAAATAGGGCAATGTGAAATGAGAATAAATTTTTACTTCATGGACTTATTAATTAATTACAGGCTGTTTAGATGTAAAAGATGAATGCAAAATATAAGAATGAGTATTAAATTAGCATCACATGTATGCTACTTAAACAGTTTTAGAGGCAGTTACAGATTTCTGTCATTTTGAACCAGTTATTTGCTCCACAAAGTTTATAGATTTTTGGACATATGTCTGCAGAGCAAAGATAGCTTTTGGACAAGTAATGCAGGCCATGAAGATGATATGAACATCACACAGCAAATAGTTGCACTGGAAAGGAAACTGAATTTCTAGCAATCTTAAAACTTGTCAGTAAGAGTCCACGACTCTAGGTCTGAATCAGAATCCCCCTCTAACTCTTGGCCATGTTGCTCTGATCCACATGAGCGCTGCCCAAGTTGCTCCCACATGAGTTATCACCCCTCTTTCCCCATGGAAGACCTCGCAAGCAAGCAAACGAAAAGGAATACAAATAATGACTGAACAGGCAGCCGCTGCACCAGGTACTCAAAAGGAAAAGTGCAGCTGGGTACTTGCTACTAGCGCCAAGTAATGGAGCACTATGCACAGAAAAGCCAAAACTTACCGGAGCAAGGGAGAATGGAGATCTAGACCCTGCCTGACTTAAAACACAAGGCAGCATTAGCTTACCCTCTGAAAGAGGGTAACAGATTCTTGCCAACAACTGTGGTGGCATGCAGCCACTTAGGGATCACCATTAGAAGGCTCACCTTCACGTGAAGGGGACACACTATCGCATCGGACCTGCCCTTTGACGAGTAGCTACGAGTAGAGCAAGAGCCCCCCCGGGGAAGGAAGGTAGCCCTAGTGTCCAGAAGAAGTAGGCTCAACTCAAAGGCAGCATTTTCACAGCTAGTGAGTAACTTCATATTAAATACAGAGGTGGCCACCGTAGAAAAACCTTTTCCAGTCACCTGAAAGGTTCTCTGTTAGACAGAGACTTTCACTTCAACAGAGCACAAAGGCACAAGCCAAGGGTATAAGACCCCTCCCTGTGAAGTAAAACAGTCAACAAGGAGAGAGAAAATAAGGTCTTCAGGGAATGAATAATCAAATCACCAATATCATCATTATGTGGGTCCCTGGGTGGGACACCAGTAGGGTGTGAAAGGAGTGCACTTCCTTCCAAATAAATATCTATATAAAAGTAGAAAAGTAGTGCTATAGAAAAGTAGAAAAAACATATCAATATATAATACAACTTGAAATTGCATACAAAAACTATGAAGAAAAACCCTCGGGTATTCCAGAAGCTTTGTTTGGGCATTTCAGGATAACAGGCATCTTGGTTTTGAGATTCTAGGGAAAAGACAACTGCTACATATCAAAATCAGTTCACAGGAAATGGGCATATTATTCTTCCCAACTGCAAGCAAACACAGGTAAACATCACTGCATCGATTTCTATCCAATTCATAAATAGGAGCCTCTTCATTCAATACTGTGCTAAAAAATGCATTTTATAAAAAACTCAAAAGCTCAAATATTAGAACAAATTTCAGGACACGGCATGGTGTCTGCAGCCACAGCAATCTACCCACTAAAGGAAACCTGCAAAAATATGAACAAATCCTTGTATTCCAATGTGTTTACAAAATAGACTCACTTATTACTGGAACACATTTTTCAAACTACAAAGCAACTGTGTATAGGAGTACAAAGGACTTCTTATAATACAGCCTATGTCCATGATCTGGGCACACAGTTATGAGGTCAGATTAAAGCCAATGATATTAAGAGTAAACCTTGCCTCTATTAACATTAAAAAAAAAATTCTCAAGGTTGCAAGCAATGTTTTTATGATTAGACAGTAATTATTTCTTCAACTATTTCTCAATTTATATTTGGAAATCACGTGAGTTGAATGATTAAGCCAACCGGAACAAAAAGTAATTGTTGCATTGCATTTTGGTTTTGACTGCACATTGTACTCTTTATATCAGTGGGACTATAGGGAATCTTTACTTATAACACTTTAAAAAGAAGAATGGGAGCAATTATTGTTAGACAGATTTTGAACTACTAAATTCCAAGTGACTTCTGAACTATGGAACTATTTTCCTGTGGAAGAAAGCCAGCTATAATCTTACCTTTTGTGGGGACAAAGGTCTAGTAAACTAAACAAAATGAGGAAGTTATCTTTTGGGGATTTTTAAGGCACTCCTCTGGAATAAAAAACAAATTTGCCATTATTTTATTCTATAAAGGCAGAAGATCATTTTTCTATCACAACTATTCTGCACTTTAACATGACTAACTGTACAGTCATTAAATAAATCTTACAGAAGAATTTTCAGGGATCTCCTCGGTTTTAGGGTTTAGATGTATTGTGTGATTCAGCTCATCATAAATTAGTCAACTAAATTGCTCTCTGAGCTCCACTGACAGTACTGATTAGCTCTTCAAAGGAGTGCAACAGGAGTTCAGGAGTTAAGAGTACATGTTGACATTTAACATAAGGCACCTGAACCTGAGGACAGAAATTCCAAACTCAGTTTCCTTATCGATAAACAAAGAATTGAACTACAGCTCAATGCATGAAAAATACTGTTTTGAAACAATTTTCAATCCAGTATGAGAAAACAAAAGGCGAGTAGGGGATTAAGAAAAGCACTTCCTACCTAAAAAGGCATGCTAAACAGCTCCAAAAAATTTTAAAGTGATGGGAGTTACATAAACTGAATAAATACCTTTTATGCTTTTGAAGAATGAAAGTCTACCTTCTTTTAATTTCAAGGACTGAAGTAGCCTCTCATTTTCCTGGGAAACCTTAAAAAAAAGTGAAGCCCTAAAAAGGTACAGGATATCAGAAATGCTAAAAAAAAAAAAAAAACCAAAAAACAAACCAAACACCAAAAAAACCAAACCTTATTAATGAAGAAAAAAAATCAGGGTTTGTTTTTCAACAAAATTGGTATGCTTGTCTGTGTTAGTATCCACCCTACCTTCCATCTCAAGAGAAAGAGCAACAACACACAAATACAGCCTCACCTTCCATGTAAGGCTGATAAAATTGCATACGCTCACCTCAGAATTATTCCGGAAGTGTTTCTTTAAAACCAGACCTCCTACATTTATAACACAAACATAGATTTCAAAGCAATGAGCAAAACAACGATTTGAGTATGTTTTAACTTTAAAATTTCCCCAATTCAGATTGTCAGTGAAAATTACTAGAAAGTTCAGGCTAGCTGGTTTTACTTATAACTAAATGCCATGGACAATTTCTTTCTTGCCTCCTCCCCATCCCTCTGCCTTTTTGGTACAGGAAAAATATATGTGAAAAACCCTTCCCTTTTAGAAGACCTCCTATTCTCATGATCTCATATTGCAGTTATGCAATCAAATTCGTATACTGAAATAGGTAAGACAAAAATACATTTAACAGAATATCCTAAAGCCCTGAAAATACAATCTATAGCTCCAGTATTTGCACACTGTGATTCATTAATAGGTATCTGTAGACCATGTCCTGTCCCATAGTTGCTTATATTTGCTTTGCTAAAGTAGAATATGGATATTTCACCACTAAAAAGGATCAATGTACTATTACAAAAAATTACCTGCCAGAGTTCAAAGGCTTCATTTTTTTTGAAGAAAGCAAGTCAACATTATATTAAAAGCAAAGGATATGCTTTCCTCCCGCAATGTGAAGGAAGGATTGTATTACCTTCATGCACTGTTATTCCACAGTTGTCACACTGGATTATTTCATCAGCATCTTCACTGTTATCTCCAAGACAAACGCAACAAATCAAAATATGGTCCATTTTCTGGGAACTCCAATTTTGAGACTTCTCAAGGATCAATGAGTCCTAATATTGAAAAATGAAGACACGTGGATTATGCCAGGAACTTCAATTTTATTTAAAACAAACAAAAGATCTGTTATTTGCTCAATTTTGAACAACAAACAAAAAAGATGGAAAATTATTTTCACAAGAATAAAAGCTTCGTTGTTGTCAAAACATCTAAACACTTCATCCACAAATATAAGAGGTGGGAGAAAGGATGGATACAATCTGATCTCAATATACCTAGAGATCTGTTAAGATCCAAAGGGCCGAGAAGGGTCTTATTTCCTCAGACAGAAACATATATGTCTTTAAACCATTTATGTTCTACAAAAAGGAACAAATACACACACCTAAGAAACCATTTAAAAGCAAAAAAAACCCCACCAAGGCCAAAAGTGACCTTCAAATGTCCCAATATTCAGAAAAGTTGCTTCATTTTGTTAAAATTTGCACCTTCCAAAAAAAGAAAATAGTCACACGGGTCTGAAAAATCTGAAAATAAACAGCTAACACAAGCCTAACAAGTCTTCACTTACGTAAAATATAACAAATTATCAACTCAGTTCTGTTTTGTTGTAATGCAAATTTGTATCTCTCTATGCAAAACCATATCATTTATTAAAGCTGTAACAACTCATTTTCTTCTGGTTATATACAGGAGTAAGGATTTGCAGAACATTGCTCTGTTTTGGCAACCTTCAATGTGAACTACACCACTTAAAAAGAATGTGGCTTTTAATAGGGAATTTCTCTACGGAAACATACAGAAGTGTTTTACAAACCAAATAAAGCTGTACGTAAAAATTAATTTTTTCATAAACACCATCTAGGCTTCTTATTATTTTCATTGTGAAGTACAGCCACTGTCTCTTCTGCAAAGTTTCACGGCTTTCATACGTTCCCTTTTATTTTTATACTAAAAGGAAACATTGAGCTTGAACTACCTTCATTGGTAATACGAAGGCATATAGGGAAGTGTGAAATTAGGCACACCAGAAAAAAGTAATCATTGCAGGATAAAGAAATAGTAATAGTTTCATAGCAGAGGCTGACAGCTCAAGCCTAAATGGCATCCATTCAAAATACTAGAGATCTGAGAGTATTCCAGAACTGCTGTGTTATCCTACCAGAAGAAAAAAAAAAAAAAAAAGGGGGAAGACACCCTCTCAAACATCTCTTTCTCATTCCAACCCCCTGTTTATGACATAAAACATAGCATCAATACTGTGCCTGTGTAGCCTAAGCAGATAAAAAGTATCATGAATGCTACCTGAAGTAGGTATTCTTCCTCAAGGATCTTAAATGTTCACACAAATCTATGCAATTATTTCATGATAGCCTCTCAATTTGATACAGTAAGTCTCCGCACAAAATTTTCAGTGAATCATTAATGAAGTCTCTTTGTACTTTAGGTTTATCTGGGCAGGTACTTGGGGGCGAAAAGGGGGGGAAATCTTTGCTTGATTTTAAAGCAAGATAAAGGGGTAAAATAATCTTACCACACAAAGCTGAGCTCAAATAGTTTACCTCAAGTAATAGAGGTGGCTTGTTATAATGTTTTTGACCTAGAAAAGGTCAAACACATACTTATAGCAGTTAGGAAAAGCTTCTGGATCTCCCATCCATTTTCTCTAAACAACGTAAGGAAACATGACCTATAAAAAAAAAACTCATCTAGAGGTAAAAATGAAAGATTATAAAGCCATTCACACGGTCATGCTTGCTTACAGGAAGGCCACTAAGATTCTCCCCTATAGAGTTCAGACTTACGGAGCACTTCTTCCACCATCCTCCTTTTAGGACAAAGTTGCAAAGCATTTTGAGGAAAGCAAGAAACTTGCATATTTTTTTCAAAAATACTGTGGCCCATCATTACTCAAATACCCACATTTAGCTTACCATTCACATTACAGATAGGAAAATGGCAGTAAATACTCCCTAACTTTGGCAGATTAATTGTGCAATGGCACAGACTTCTCAGACGCATCTTGCAACTCTACAGAAATCAGCTTTTTCTCACAGTACCTTCGACTTAAACTGTTATTTGGCTTCACTAACAGAAGTTTAAAAGAAATCTGTGATCTCTACTGTTATAGAAGTCCAAGGTCTGATAATTAAAAAAAAAAAACAAAAAAAACCCCCAAAAACAAAAACACAAAAACAAAAAAACAAAAAAACAAACTATTACTTTAAATTAAACAAACAGAATTGCACTGTAAAAACAACACTGAAATAACAATAGCTATTTAGGCACTGAGAACATATGCAAACATGGGTAAAAAGAAGAAATAAGAAATGATGGAAGGGCATCAAATTCGGATCTAACGTTAGGATCCCCATCCATTATGGTTCACCTTATGTGAAGACAGCCAACAGGTCAAACAGAGCAGCAGAATGACTTCATTTTCTACACAGACATAGAGAGGGAGTGATCTGGAACATATGCTGCTCTCCCCTGCTTAGTCCATGTAAGCACCTAAAAGACCCCATCCCAGAAGCTGACCCTACTCGTCTAAAGCATGGGAACTTTTATGTAGAGAGGGTAACTGCTGCCAACTCCTGAACAAGTCCTGTTCCCTACCCAAGTGAAAGAAAGGATTTCAGCTGAATCACTATGTAATTCCCATTTCTGTGGTGTTAATGAAGAAAGTGAGCATTTCAAGCTATATGCCCTATATACTTCTAACTTTAAAGGAATAAAAAAAAATTAAGAAATAAAGTAGCCACCTCACTGAGAACAGAAGAATCCCATAAAATGGTAGCAATTTTAAGAACAGAAAAGCACCATTTATCTACTAATGATGCTTGACCCTAGAAAAGAAAGCTAAGTTTGTCTTCTGTGCTTAATACAGTAGAAAAGCACATAGTATTTCATTACAGCACAGGTTAAAATACTATATATCCAGACCTCAAAATATTTTTGTAAAATGTAGAAAAATAAAATAAAAATCACACAGAGACAAAACCCAAACAACCCACCCCCAACACCCTCCCCACCAAGTAAGTAAAGGAAAGGAAGAATGCCTATTAAGGACACTACTACATGTTCAGAGTTAATTACCTGAACATTCTTTCCTAAATTAATTATGCATTCAGACATCTGTTTTTCTAAGAACTTAGCTTCTGCAGTGTAATGAGATTTTGCTAGACAGGTTTTTTAGGGTTTTTCCTCCTATTTTAAAATATTGCAGTAGTGGAAAGTATACTGTTATAATACAGTTGAGTATCAAGCTAAAAATTACAGTCTATAATCCAGTCTACACTGTTGCAAGACTTCTTGTTGAAGACCTATTCATAAACAGTACTTTGCATTACATCCAGTAAAGATAAATTATCAGTTACAAAATTACAATTTTAACTTCAAATTTTCAAATTTCTATTTTATCTTTTTATCAATGTCCTAAATCCACGGCAAGAATAGACTCTTAGGTCCATGTATATTAAGAAGCTTCGCAAAAGATGTATCAGAGGCAGCTCTGGGTTTCTGAAACAGGCCTAATTTTCCAAGTCAATGGGAATTATGGACATATTCAAGAATATATCCCTAAGAACATAGACTCACATCTCCATTCTGATACAGGAAACAACTCCGAAAGAACATTGCCTATCTCTATTTGAAGTTTTGATCATCAGTTTTGGTAAAGCACTTCCAGCTCCTGAGCCAAGAGAATACGGGTAACAACACTAGAATTACAGAGCTAGACAATGAAAGAAGATGCCTATACAAAAAGCAAAAAACCCCAGAATTATGCTTTTTTTTTTCCCCCCCAATCACAATTATTACTAGTAATTAAAACAGCACAGCTCGTTCACAGTCATATATATAAAATACATAACAAAGTATCTGAAACAGAGACAACTGATTCTTCCAAACACTCTGTTTAGCTCCCCGTCATTTTACACATTAAAATAAAGATTAAATGGAACAGCAGAATTTTAAGTAGTGCCATACCACTATCATTTATCAAATTTTATGTTGACATTGCAATTATTTCCTGAAAATTGAATGTAGATTTTACAGCAACTCTTTTTACTTTGTTCAAAATTTTGCTACTGCAGGACATGAAGTCAACTATCCTGACAACCTAATATCTTAATTTTTCCGCAGGCACAACCTTTAGGCAACTGTAATTGTGCATAGGAAAAAAAAGTTGCATTATTAAACACTTAACATATAATTTTCACATTCTGCAATTGGAAGATATTTAATATAATAATAATAGTTCCCAGATACTTTTTAGTACTGTAAGAAATTATTTCATTTGTGAGCATTATAAGCAAACCCAACATAAAATATCATGATTACCCTATTTAATTTTAAAGTCAGTATGCATATTTCTTTACTTAGAAGTCTTCCATCAGTGAACTTAGTATTCAGACTTTGATGTTTGTCACAAAGAAGGGCTAGGATAAAGAATAACCTATCATTTAACTATTTTATGAATACGCTTTTAACTTTTCGAACATTACAGATATGCAGCATTTACTCTAAAACAGTACTAAAAGTCTCGCTAATACATGTTGATTTGCATACTGGACCTTCTATTTGCTTTAGAATTAATCCAACCCCCCCCGCTAAAGCCAAGAGAAGACTCTCTATTGACTTTAGTGGCATTAGATTGGCCAAATGGTCCAAGCAAGGTTATTTAATACGCAGTGCCTATTTAGCACAATTTGGCTGCTTCGCTTATTCCTGTAAACACAATTCCAGCCAATCACTTTAACTTTTCAAATTAACAGAATAGCTACTAGGGAGTAGTTTCCATTTGTCAACAGATATATTATAGAAAGTTGGTTGCACTACCTCATTACTCTTGCTTTGTGAAAGAGCCAGGCTATCATTTGTCAATTCCTCATCATCTGCATTATTCCTGTTAAGAACTTTACTCTTCTTCTTCTTGGATCCTCCATCACTAGCCGTGCTGCTATTATCTTCTTCATTACCTTCCTCATCATTGTCATCCTCATCACTTCCACTCCCATCATCCTCATCATCCTCATTATCTCCATCACTCCCCTCTTTTCGCAGTGCGTTTTTTCCTTTTTTTTTCTCAGCAGTAGGCCGCCAGTCATTGTCATCTTCGCTATCATAGTCATCCATATCATTTAGTTCTTCCATCGATACAAAATCCAGCAAAGGTCGGTTCCTGCGCAAATTCCATTTTTTTGGTTCATTTGTTTGCTCATCAGCCACAGCATCAGGTTCAGATCTTCTTTTTTGGCTTTTCTTCTTCATCATCTTGCTCTTTCTTTTCAGTTTTAATTACGTCTTTGTCTGCTGTTGGCACCTCTTCTTCAGTGGAGCTTTTTGGCTGTTGCTCTTCTACTTTCTCTTCTGCCGGTTCCTCCTCCAAGATATTTTCTTCTGATTCAGTACAGGAACCTTCACCACTGTCCTTTGATGCATCTTCACTCCCATTGGCTTTTCTTCTTCATCATCTTGCTCTTTCTTTTCAGTTTTAATTACGTCTTTGTCTGCTGTTGGCACCTCTTCTTCAGTGGAGCTTTTTGGCTGTTGCTCTTCTACTTTCTCTTCTGCCGGTTCCTCCTCCAAGATATTTTCTTCTGATTCAGTACAGGAACCTTCACCACTGTCCTTTGATGCATCTTCACTCCCATGACCACTTCCTTCAGAATCTGTTGAGCATATGAAAATTTAAAAAAAGTTCCGACACAAATGTACCCCCAAAAATAAAATCTGTTGAAGCAAGTTGTTAAACAAAAGAATGATGCATGTTCCTCCCTCATAAGGTATTCCACCTATTTTTTCAGCTGGTGTCCAAATACTGCTATTTTGAGTGGTATGTTGAGAATCTGTTAAACATGAGTGCATTTTAAGATGGCAAAAAAAAGATGGCAGAATTTATTAAATGAACGTTCAATGTTCCTTTGAACTGCAATAAGTTATAACAATAAGCTGTAGCACAGAATAATTTCCGTGTGAAGTCACATCTTAAAGAAAGAGCATTCCAGTTTTTAATTTCTGGAGACGTTTTCCAAATCTTCAAATTAAAATAGCTACCCAATAGAAGAGATTTAAAATTACAAAATGAAGAGTTTACGTAACAAGTACTAACAATAGTATGGATAATCCCTCACCTTCATTTATAGTACAAGCTTGTTTTTCTGGGTTTGGGGGCTCTTTTAATTTCTGACGTTATTTCACTTATTAATCCCACATAAGCTATGCCTCATTCAGTGTTGCAGCTGTACAACAATGCATAAATTCTAGCCGTATACCACTCATATGGTATTGTTTTGTGTGTAGTCACTGTTTCCATTAATTAACACAGGCCAATCTGTGCAATAGAAAGGAACAGAAGAGGATTTGTATGAAGAAAAAAAAAAAAAAAAAAATCACAAAAATAAGGCATCTGTACTATAAAGTACATGTAAAAATTATTGAAAAAGATGACAAGTGAACTTGTTAAATTTTATAAACATCATCCACCTTGACTTTCTCTCATCTTATGTTCACCTACTATTTACTACTTTTCATTTAAAGTATTAGTTTTAATGAAGAAAAACTCAGAAAATGTTTTTTTAAATTAACAAGAAAATATAAAGTTGCTTGATCCAACACAGGGATCAATTAGGTAATGGCTACAGTTTTCAATTTGTTCAGAGCCATCACCAAGTTCCTGATGCACTGTCACATAGATGCAAAGAAAAATATGTTGGTGCTTGCAAATTAAAAAAAAATCCTTAATGACTTTTGTTACCACACAAAAAAACCCACCACTCAGTATCACCTTACATAGAGAAATTCCGTGCACATCCATCTCTGTATAAAGTCAAATAAACAAACAGTGGGGCCAGTGTGCTACACACTTCTCGTGGCATTTATTTCCACACCACACTGTCTTTGACTAGCCAGTAACTCAGCTGTTACTTCAATATAATGGTCAGTTTTGTCTTTTTTCTGCATATACCTGTATGTGGAAGTATTTGATGAGGAGATTATATAATTATCAACAAAAAAATCCATCAGTGCTACTACTACTGATTAGGATATTAATGTTATCAGTCCCCTTACAAGCTAACAGAAAGTAAAAGTTTCCTGCAAATGTTCTAACCTTTAGAGAGCTGGGGGGGGGGGGATGTGGGGGGGGGGGGGGGGGGGGGGGGGGGGAAGAGAATGCAGTAACACAAGTTATTGTACAGTCTTTTGAGAAAAGAGTAATTCAGTCATTTCCCTATGCCTACCAGCTTTAATGGTAGTAATGGAAGTACTGAAATAGTAGCACGCTCTTCAGGCGTGCCTAAGAAATAAAAACCAGTACTAACAAACATGCAATCTAAAAAATTGTTTTTAAATTACAATAGATTTGTTTGGATACATATTCATGGATCTGTTAGAGTGGGTCTAGAGAAGGGCCACAAAAATGGCCAGAGAGCTGAAACACTTCTATGAAAAACGGCTGAGAAAGTTGGGGTTGTTCAGTCTGGAGAAGGCAAGGCTCCTGGGAGACCTTACTGCGGCCTTTCAATATATAAAGGGGGCTTATAAGAAAGAGGGACTTTTAACCAATGCCTGTAGTGACAGGAAAAGGGGGACTGGTTTTAAACTGAAAGAGGGTAGGGTTTAGATTGGATATAGGAAGAAACGTTTTATGATGAGGGTGGTGAGATCCTGGAGCAGGTTGCCAGAGAAATTGTGGATGCCCCATCCCTAGAGGTGTTCAAGGTCAAGTTGGACGGGGCTTTCAGCAACCTGATCTAGTGAAAGATGTTCCTGCCCACGGCAGCGGGCTGGCCTAGATGATGTTTAAAGGTCCCTTCCAACCCAAACCATTCTATGATATTTGCCAGCTCTCACAAACACTTTACAAGTAACTCCTAAAGCCAGACTCTCATACTAGAGAATATTTATATCATAGATTAAATGCCGTATGTATGTTTAAAAGCAAAATGTAGTTTTTTACCTCATTTCACAAGTTCTGATGCCAATGTACACTACTTGTCCGTCTCATTGTAAATAAGGTAATTTAAAAAAATAAGTGGTTTGCCATGTTAAAATTAATTGAACTGGATTTTTAGGATAACATATTATTTTCTTTTGTTTTACTTCCCCACCATAACTCCATGACAGTAATTTGTTTGGATGCTTTAATTGTGCTGTTCCATTTCTAAATACGCTTAGACTTTTTGTGAATTTAAGCTTCACTTTGGGGGGGGAATCTTGGTTTGGGTATAGCTTGATCTTTAACAGCACTCTAAATTACCAACAGTGATTCTTGTACATCAATACTACAGCACTGAGAATACTCTCTAGCTGCTTTATGCCATGCAAACAATATAAAGCAGAGAATAAATAAAGGTTAGTTACATCCGCTTCTCTCCTTCAAATTTTCTTTGCCTTCTGCCTGCACATTATGCTTTGTACTCTCCTTTCTGCATGCATGTACACACCAGAGATACATATAGTAAGGGATACCCCTCTTCTGTCTGAATGCATTCACTGTGATAGGTACTTTTCTAGAAAGAGCTATTCTGTGATAACAGCTATTTTTGCAGGTGTTCTTCTGTCAGATGCACTTTCAGTTAGGAAGAGGCTGTAGTATACAATTTTCTCCTTGAAAGAAATTCTTAAAGAATGGCTCTTTCAAATTGGCAACCATATCATGTCATTCCTATGGGAGAGAAATCAAGCTACTCTCGGTAACAGATGGGGCCAGATACACTGTCAAATAGTGAAGAATACAGAGTTCCACTGAGGAACAAATATGAGAGATAAGTTGTGAGAAAGGCATCATTCACTTCTGTACACCTTGTATCTTTAGCTCTACTGAGCACAACAGCAGGTGGCAGTCAAATCTAAAGAGGGTAATTCAGAGAGGAATTCTCTGGGACAGAACATTATGCTCCAGAATTAACATAAGAAAAAGAGTAATAAAGATAAACAAAAGTGACTACTAATCTCCACGTCAGCTGTGCAGTCTTGTATAATACCTACTATGCACAAGACTTCTGGGGAAAGCTACTGAAATCACTACAGCAGTTAAAAAAATCCTCCCAGGGTTTCGCAGGACCATTTTACAAGCAACTTTAAACATGGTACCCTGTGATTTTTTTATTAGTAATTAACTTTTTTTCACCTTCTAAGAAAATCCATGTATACAGAGAGTAAGTGCTACACTACATAAGTACATGACCACCCACTCACAGAAGACAGGCTGATTCTTCAATGCAGTATTTAGCTTAACAAGCAGCTCTGTAAAAAGCAGTTTTATTGCTTGTTTTTAAGTGAAGTCTGAAGGATAAGCTAGTTAAAGGAAATCATGGACTCAATTTTGGGCTTGCCTCTTCCATTAACAAAGCCTAACCAACTCCAGATAGCCGAAGAGAAGCATCTGGCATCATTCTGCAAAGGTCTTTTTTTTTGCATTGAGTCCTATCTGGTTGAGTCTTACCCAGGTGCTGAAAGCTACATACAAAGAATACAATCCAGGATCCTGGAACATTAAAAAGGAGTGAAAAAACTGAAAAATTGACCATGCAATACAGAAAACAACTACCATGCCTGAAGTTATTCCTACTAAATAACATTGTTCAATAATAATCTACAGGCATCATGTGATAAGTCATCCAGCCCAGAGTGTGCTTTACGATACCCTCTTTTTAAGGGCGGTAAAAAAAACAGGTTACAAGTGAGGTTAATTCTGGAGGTTAAAGCCACTCGATCACCATCACCCTGTCTACCGGTCCCTTAGCCTCTTTCTCCCAATCACAAGGTGGACAACAAATCTTGGACATGATGATGTGAAATCACCCGGGTATCTCTGCTAGAACACCCTGTTACACACCATGTACAATCCCTTACCCAGATTTCCTTCATCCTGGCAGATGGGGAAAGTGGAAAGCGCTGCAAAAAGTGTTTGTTGACAATAGCCTCTGTCCATAAACTTCCTTACAAGAACAGCTCCAGAGCCACAAAAACTCCTTTGCACATGTGCTATACCAAACGTGTAAAAGCAGCTGCACCTCCTATACATCTGATCCAGAAATTGCAAATAATTTTGAAGACTCCAAAATACCTTAAGGAAATGCTTAAGCTAACTAGAAAGTTCTGATATTAATAATCGGATGTAAAATTAAGGCAGGGAAACCTAGATCATACATGGAAAATATGAACTTTTAAATTGCCAAAGGCAGAATTGTGTAACTGGTAAATTTCTGACCACATTTGTCTATTAGACTAAAGCCACAGAGGTCCATTGTACTAAGACCGAAATACCTATACTGAAAGCAAGAATTGAAAAGGCTTAATACTTCACTTTCAACATAACTTCAAAAAAGAGAATCTAGCATCAGTTAGATGTACACCACTGGCTTTCTATGCTATTTTGCGGAGTATGATGATTAAACATTGGTAGACTACCGGCAATTCAACATTGGTAATGCTGGCAGTTAAAAAAATTGAACTGTCAAAAGTAACACAATTAAGAACATACAAAACAAAACCAACAGACTAAGAGATTACTGCTCTAAGGAGAGAAATTCACTTCTCAAATAATGTTTTGGAAAAAAGTATCTAATCTTTATTAACTGCAGATGTAGACTGGGCAGAGTAGGAAATGAAACTGATCACTGATCTGCGATTACACTTGTTTCAGAAGACAAGTATTTAGTTTAAT